TAATCAGGCCATATGCGAGTAAGTGCCGAAGATCAGAAGTGCTGCAAGAGTGAAACAAACACAAAAAGAAGGAGAGATAAGGACGATAGGTGTCTGACTGGAAAGAAGGAGAGGTAAGGACGATAGGTGTCTGACTGGAAAGAAGGAGCAAACCACATCAGACGGCATGTTAAAAGCAAACACAATAGTGAAAACAGTTTCGTGTTTCTTCCACACGACCAGAGGCTCAGATTACAGACACCCTCTCTACGAGTCTATAGACTTAAAAATCTTAGTTTCACAATATACTGGACATACTCCACGCGTCAACCGACCATTCAAATCTGAATATCGCTAAAATCTGACTGTAAGCCAAACCCGCCCGTGCCTTTCCTTTCCACCCCTGCATTTCAAAGGCAGTAAGCAACTACTACCTACAAAGCACAGATTTCAATATCTGAAAAAGGCATCTTAACAGAGTAATAAACAGTAGGTTTATAAGGTACCTTGATGCAAGTCTACATAAGAGAAACAATGAGAAAGACATCCACACTCCCGACAGTTCTCTTATAGTACACTGTTTTTAAACAGATACCTTTTTATAAGCTTCCAAATACAGCTGTTGTTAGCTACGATTCAACAAAAACAACAACAACAACAAAAAACAACCGACATCAAACATCATACTGTACATGTTATTCCCACAGCGGGAGGCCACGGGAAACATCAGACTCGAAGACTCTTCGTACATTATTAAGCACTTCTGTGGACACACCTGCCTCGTCCTAATTAACACAGCGACAGCAGTGCTGCAGAAGTGCATCTTGAGATGTTTGCACTTATGGGCGCAGGGGATGAAGAAAAACATTACTGAAGCTCAAGGGGCGTAGGCGGGTAGTCAAAAACAATCACACACGCAAACTTTGTACATTTTTCACACCCCGATCGACGCAGTTTAGATTATTCAGGAGACGGGCTACTTTAATGGCGCTTCCGGCAGGGCCAACCCGGACTGTCTACTTCTAGGTCAATGAAGGCGGTTTCAGACCAGAAAAAGATAAAATGGTTGGTGGGAGATCGTTGAAGGAAGAAGGTGGTAAGTCCTACTTCTCTTCTCTCCCCCTCTAGTTTCTGTCAAGAAAAAAAGGCGATTTATTTACGTATCCAAATCGATTTGACCGATGAGTTGAACGCCTCAGTTGAGAGTGCAGAATACCCAGTGCACACTGCTCACTGGATTGGATCTAATCCATTTGATACAGTCGGCGCTAGCTACACTGTCCCTCATGGAGGGGCAAAAGCTACCATTTTGGCACAATTCAACGTTGACCCTCAAATCAAAGGTCACGAATCGTACGCGTTAAATTCACGGGGTGTTTAGTTTAATTTTAGTAAGGTTTTACGGCACTCACAACTGCATAAGGTCATATATATTGATGAGTGCCAAGGGGTGGATGTCAACAGAGAAGTCCAAACGGGGAATCAGGATTACTCTGCTCACCTCCCTAGCATAAAGTCTGCTTCGACTATCAAGGCACCCCGGAAATAGCAGTTCACTAGAGTGACAAACATACAAAAGAAGTAGAGGGAAAATGACGATTAAGCGGATGAGGAAAGAAAAATCAGCAGTTCCCCGTATGTTGTTCCGCACAGTATGAGCATGGCATTGATAAATCAGCCCATTTACAATTCTACTCTGCATAAGAACATGTTAATTCCCCCCCCCCCCCCCCCTTTGGGAATGGCCTAAAGACAATCCACTCTGTGGCACAGCCCTGGGGGGGGGGGGGGGGGGGACATCTCCGGGTGTGTCACAGCCAATCACAAGATTTGTAGCTTATGGGTCAGTTCTTTTGTTTGTGCGCGGAATACGAGAGGGACCTAATAGACGGTGTTAATTTGGAGAGGTAGATAGAAAGCTATACCCATGTCTGTAAAAAAAACCAACCCCTCTCAATTCAATAACCGCGATATGTAGCCGTCAGCGGTTGAAACTAATATTAAAGAAAAGAGCAGAGTTGTGAATGGTAAGTTTTGTGTGCAACAACACCGCTCGCGCCGGATAAAACCTCCGCACCAAGTTACATGGTCACCAGAGGTTAACGTTTTCTCTGCTTTAACTTCCGAGTCAAATTTGATGAGGTAAGGCAAGAGTCTATTCGTAGAGGGCACTGAAGTCGCCGATTTCGACCTGATCCGACGTCGAAAGCGTCGCAAACGATCTTAGTAAGCTACAAAGATACCCATTTTACAGAAGAAGTAAGATGTATTCTATTTCAGGCCTACCAATATTCCTGTCAATTATCATGCTTCAAAAGCCACTAAAATGTGTCAAGGGGTGTGCAAAAAACACCAAGCTTAAGAAAAAAAAAGAAACAAAAGCCACTAAAAGAGCAGTCTGTGGGATGAAAAGATATTGAGGATTTCATTGTATTTTATTTTTTCCCATTGATCAAAACGCTTCCATCTGACACAGGTCCGGCGTCTCCAGTGTAATAGTTTGGCACTTCACTCTTGCAGGCAGAAGATAGGAGTTCAATTCCAGAGTGGGCACTTATTCTGTTAAGTATCTCAATCTATCTGCTGAGATGCTTTATCCCACTAACCCCAGGTTGGCCCTGACAGACAGGGTCCCAACAGCCTGTTTCCTAAATTATCTAAAGTTCTTCGGTGAGAACGTGAAACAATAATCAAAATCATTTAGCCCACAAAGATCAGCTGAGTCATACATCTCTTTAATATGACAAAAAGGGATGACTTGCAATCAACTGAGTTATGAAGATTACAGGCGTCACCACTGACATAATCAAACAGTACTCACGTCTATATATATACTTACTTTCCTACATGAGGAAATGTTTTGAGAATCATCATCATCATCATTATAATCATCATCATCATCAATCACGGTTCGCCAATCACTTCTGTGCATGGGTTCTCTCATTAAACCTATTCTATTACATGTACATGTATTATTGTCCTGGTCGTTCCCCGCAACCCATCTGTTCAAGTTCTTTGAGAAAGCTGTTCTTGGTCTTCTCCTGTCTCTTTGCCTTATTTTTTAAAAATTTGTCTTGAGGTTGTTGTTTTTCTTTTTCCTCCCTTTCTTTTTTTCTTTTTCTTCTTCTTCTTTTTTTTTTTTAGAAACATGTTCTGAATTTTCCACAGGGCTTACCTGTTAAGTCCTCCCTGCTACCATGCACCGGTGAAGTGACCAGTCTTCCGTCCAAGTGCGGCTTAAGCAGCGACCCCCTGCCCCCGAAATGAGAGGTCTTGGGTCGAACCTGCAGCTGTGATGGAGACGACGAGTCCGTCATCCACACAGACCTGGCGCTCCGGGTGCGACCGTACCGGAACTCTGTCGCTGACCGGGCACTTTCGCTGATGACGCTGACATTGTCCGGATCTGAACAAAAAAGTGTTGTGGGGTTTAGTTAAAAGTGCGATTCGATGGCTGGATGCATGACTCTGACAAACGCGAATTTTGGAATTTGGTGTGTGTCAGAATATAATATTGCACCCAGCGATCAAGTTGCATGTATACAGTCTTTATCCCCTTATAAGCCGATAAGACTTCGTAATAACTCCCTCCGTTGGCTGGTTCATTCCATATTACTATCCCCCCCC